AGAAACTATTACATGCAGTTGTCTTAGGATGGTTCGGAAAGGGCAGCCATGCAAACACATTCTGTTTGTTCTCCATCATCTGAATTTAACTGAAATACCAAAGTGTTGTGTCCTTCATCGGTTGTCCAAACATGCAAGAGATGGGTTGCCTGTGCAGAGGAAGAGTGATATCTTTGGATGGGGTTGGTCAGGGCCATTGGAGAGAGAACGGTATAGTGCAATAACCATTAAAACTGCAGAAGCTGCTCATGTTGCAGCAAATGATCCCTTCTTGTTCGATGAGTTGATGAAGTGTCTGGACAACATAATAGCGCGGAAAAAGATTTTAGAGGAGGAACTTATAGCAAGTAGAAGGTATGCTATGCTAAAGAAGGAGGCAAGTCAAGCGCAACAAGTTGAGCCTGGTATTGGTGATCCTCAGAAAGTTTCGACGAAGGGTGCACCTAAGAAGGGGCGGTCAAAGGGGGGCCCTGGCATTACAAAGAATGGTAGGCCAAAAGATTTTACAGAGAAGAAAAGTGGTCCTTTGTGCAGTCTGTGTAGTCAAGCAGGTCATAATAAGGCTACATGTCATTTGAACGAGAAGTAAGATGTTATCTTCTTATTTTTGTTATGTTGCTACTTTGATTTTAGCAACTATATTTGCTCACCCATTTCTTTACGTTTTGTTCAGGATCTGGCGTAGGTAGAGATGCAGCTTGGTTTGTAGGAAGAATAAAAGTGGTCGCACGAACCTATGTTGTTTTTTATTCGTACGTGTCTGCAAGAAAACTTGATAAGTTATTTGCTTATGTTTTGTCAAAAGATTTATGTAATAAATTTGGAGATGACATTGCATATGTTATACTACCTGGGCATGATGATGATTTTGCTTGTTGTTTGCTACCTCGGCATATATGTTGTACTACCTGGGCATGATGATGATTTTGTTTGCTGTTTGCTGTTGTTTCCGGCCGCTACTTTCTGCCAAAATAATTGAAAAAGTGAAGTTAAAAAAATGCCCAACCACCGCTGCTGGGCCCATAGTAGCTTACAGAACGTACCCAAATCAAGCCCAAAGGCGACTCGGGCGGCTGATCGAGCCCACTAGCGGGCCCAGCAGCGGGGTCCAACGGGGCGCGGGAGAGTAATACACAGAGGAGTTCGAAAGAGGGGGTGGAGGCAGCTATTTAAGCTGCTCCTGGCGCCCCCCGCTTCCGAGGTGGGACTAAAAACGGCGCTGCCCCGCGCGGGTGAGGGGAGGGGGCGTGGGCCGGGGGGCGCGAGGGGAGGGGCGTGGGCCGGGGGAGGAGACCTGCACGGGCGAGGGGAGGGGGCGTGGGCCGGGAGAGGAGCCCCGCGCGGGCGAGGGGAGGGCCAGCCCATTTTTTCCTTTTTTTCTGGTTCCTTTTTTCTTTTTCTTTTTCTTTTTGTTTTCTTATTTTCCTTTTTCCTTTTCAAAATTGTGAACCTTTTAAATTGAATGAAGTTTTATCAAAAAAAATTCACTCATTTGAGAAAAACTTTCACGGATTTGAAAGTTCACGAAATTTTAAAAAAGGCTAATTTATGGAAAGTTCACGGATTTGAAAAAGTTCATGAAAATTTAGAGAAAGTTCAGGAAATACAACATAGTTCAAGAAAAATAAAAAAAAGTTCATCAATTTTTTAAAAAGTTCATGAATAAAAGTTCACAAACCTCAAATTTAGTTCACGTATTTTTTTAGAAAAATCATGCATTTTATAAAAAGTTCAACAAATTGAAAAAAGTTCATCAAAAAGGAAAATTATTTTTGAAAAAATGAGTTCACCGATTTAAAAGGTTCACGAATTTGAAAAAGAAAAAAATAAAAAAAGAAAAGAAAAAGAAAAAGAAAAAGAAAAAGAAAAAAGGAACCAGAAAAAAAAGGAAAAAACAGGCTGGCCCTCCCCTCGCCCGCGCGGGGCTCCTCCCCCGGCCCATGCCCCCTCCCCTCGCCCG